GGGGCTACCGAAGGAGGAGGGGTAGCCTGGGACACACCTGACGGGGCTGGACCAGGGGGGGGAGGCTGTACCGGGGGAGCAGGAGGGGGAACGGCAGTCAGGAAGAGGGGGGGAGGAGGAACCGGGAGACCTCGACTGGGGTACCTGACGTAGTACGGAGTGGACTCCTCGAAACGGACGTCACGGGAGTCAAAGAACCGGTGAGAGGGAGGGTGGTAAAAGGTGAAGTCAGAGGAGTCCTCAGGGAAACCAAGGAAGACACAGGGGACGGCACGAGGCGAGAGCTTGTCCGCGGAGGTGTCGCGGACAAGAGCCAAGCACCCCCAGACACGAAACCGCGACGCAACACCAGGGAACCCTGTCCAAAGACTGGTCGGTGAAACCTCTGGTCGAGAGACACGTGGCCAGAGGTTCAGCTGGTGCGCGGCGTACCTGACCGCGTAGGGCCACAGAAAATGGGGGGCACAGGCGTGAGTCAGGGAGGTGCGGGCGATCTCCATGACCAGGCCTATGCGGCGCTCAGCAACCCCATTCTGCTGTGGGGACTCTGGAAGCGTCCAGGACTGACGAATGCCCTGCTCGCGACAGAATCCAGCGAGAATGCCGGAGCGAAACTCACCCCCACGGTCGGAGTGGAGACAGCTGACACGACGACCACGAGTGTCCTCGGTGGTGAGCAACCACCTGATCAGCGTAGAAGTCACCTCAGACTTCTTCGCCAGAGGGAACACTGTGGTGTAGCGGGAGAAGTCGTCAACGACCACCAGAAAGTAACGCTCACGCTCAGGGCCTAGACGAGGGGCTGGGCCCCAGACGTCCAAGTGAAGCGTCTCAAAAGGCTCGGTGGCCGGACGAAGGGAGGAGGAGTGAGGGGTGGCGCGCAGCCTACCCTCGACGCAGGGACGACACGGCGGCGCAGGCGAAGGCGGCAGCGACGGCAAGACACGTGGGAGGCCTAGGACAAGACGCTGACTAGACATAGCGCGCAGACGTGGAAGGGACGGGTGCCCCATCCGGTGGTGCCACAGAACGGTGGGGTGGGCAAGCGACCGGCAGGAGCACGACGCAGCGACTGGAACAGACGGAGGAACCTGACACGACACAGACACCTGGGGGGACGTAGCAACCTGGTGAGACGCGGGGACCCGAACGGGGGGGGGAACCGGGGGCAGTGGCAGTAGGGGGGGCTGCTGGTGCGGCCGCTGGTGCTGCTGCTGCTGCTGCTGCTGCGGCTGCGGCTGCTGCTGCTGCTGCGGCTGCTGCTGCGGCGCACGCGGGCCAGTGTGAAGAGTGTAGAGACCCGAGCCCGGCTCAGCAGTAAAGGTAGCAAGAGGCTGGTAAGAGTCTCCGTCAACACACACCGCAGTCTCTCCAGAAGGCTCAAACCACACACCCACGTGCTGGCTCACGAGGGGTCGCACGCCCACCAAGTTCCGGGAGAACGAGGGGACGTGAAACCCAGTGAGAGACCCGGAGGGAGCAGCAGGACACGGTAAAGTGGTAGTGTGACGTGCAGTGACTGGTCCCGTAGTGGGATCAGCCAACGCTACAGAAACAGGCGCAGGAAGTGGTGTAAGTGTCGTGCTGTCCCGAAAGAAGCAGTGGGAGGCTCCAGAGTCCAGTGTGAACGACACCGAAGCGTCCTCTGAGGTAGTCGCTGGTCTAGAGTCTACACAAGTACCTACACTAGCAACAGGCAACTCAGTAAGACTAGCACCTAAGCTAACAACACCAGAGTAAACAGAGTCAGAAACACTAGAGTCAACAACAGCATACATAGCATGAGGAGCACTAATCAGATCAACTAACTGCTCAGCAGACATGCCCCACAGAGCGGAGCCGTAGCGCTGAACCAGAGGAAGCCAGTCAGGAGCAGGACCGCCAACCCCGTAGGTCAACCGGACCGTGTCAGTGAGCTGAGCAAAGCACTGACCAGGGGGGTGAAAGCGGCCACAAGGGTGGCCCCGACGAGGACCTGTCTGAACCTGGTAGGGGCAGGGAGGGTAAGCAGCACCGCGCTGGGGCTGACGCAGCCCCGACCCCGGAGCCAGCTGCTGACGCTGCTGCTGCTGAGGCTGCTGGGAGGAAAGGGGCTGCTGCTGCTGCTGAAGGTGCTGCTGACGCTGAGCCTGGTACCACGCCGCTGCTCCACCTAGCGGGGCCGACAGTACAGGAGGCGACTGACGAGCTCGAGGGTCGCTGCCACCAGCAGGTGCAGTGGAGTCACCGGCCGCTGCACGAGGGGTCTCTCCAGACGCTGCACTCCCACCACCGCCAGTCGCAACAGCACCCCCACTACCTCCGCTACCTCCGCCTCCACCTCCACCGGAACCACCTTTCTTGCCCCCCCTGCCGCGGGACCGCGACGCAGTCGTAACAGCAGCCGCAGTCGCGTCAGTAGCGGCAGTGGCAAGAGAGGCAGTGAAGGTGGGTAACTGCGGGACTGTGCACCCGTGGAAGAGTGGGGGGGATACAGTACCAGAGGCGGCAGCTACCGAACGAAGGTTGCTCTCGACATCCTTGAGTGCAGACTCAAGGACCTCGATAGTCAGCTCACTAGGGTGCTTCAGCAGAAGCGCGTCACGAACGGAGGCAAGGCGGTCAGGGAGGCTAGTGGCGATGAAATAGACAGTAATCGCCATGGGGGGAGGAAGCAGTGCAAGCTGTGCCTCAGTGCAAGCAGCGCGGTAACTAGCGTCAAGCGAGCGGAGGTGAGCGATCAAGTCAGCAGAGCGCTCAAACGAGGCAAGATCAGGAAACAGGAACGGGAGGAAAAGACGGCCGAGAGAGACAGTAGCGGGAGTAGAGTAGCGGGCCTTAATCGCAGTGAGGTACGCAGCAGCGGTGCGAACCTGAGTAAAGTGGACCTCCTCGGACTCAGGGAGGAGGCTGCTGAGTGCGATGCAGGCCGCAGCGTCACGCGACGTCCAAGCCGTCCGGTCAGCGCGCTGACGGGCAAAGCGAGCCGTAGCAGCATCGTCAGGAGCAGGGCCTAAAGTTGTAGGCTCGGGGGGCTCGGGGAGGTCACCAGTAGCGTGTGACCAGAGGGTCTCGCCCCCCTGGACCTGACTCTCTAACAGACGACGAGCGCGAAGAAGCCAGACGGAAAAGTCAAGGGGTCTACCGTCGGCGTCGAAACGAAGAACTCGCGGAGTCGCCATAGTGAGAACGAACAGGCGAGTAACAACCGGGGGGGGAAGAGGACTCAGTCGCAGCGGAAGAGTGGGCTAGGACGACGGGCCAAGACGTAGGGTAGGGCAACGGGCCAGGGCCTAGGGTAGGGCGACGGGCCAGGGCCTAGGAAGGGCGACAGGCCAGGGCCTAGGGAGGGCGACGCGACGGGGGAAAGGTCAGGGCGACGCGACGGGGCAGGGCGACGCGACGGGACAGGGCGACGCGACGGGGCAGGGCGGCGCGACGGAGCAGGGCGACGGGACAGGGCAGGGCGACGCGACGGGGTAGGGCGACGCGACGGGACAGGGCGACGGGACAGGGCAGGGCGACGCGACGGGACAGGGCAGGGCGACGCGACAGGACAGGGCGACGCGACGGGACAGGGCGACGGGACAGGGCGACGGGACAGGGCGACGCGACGGGACAGGGCGACGGGACGGGGGGGGGTAACAGGCAGGCGCGACGCGACGGGGGGGAACGGGCGCGACGCGACGGGGGGGAACGGGCGCGACGCGACAGGGGGAACGGGCGCGACGCGACGGGGGGAACGGGCGCGACGCGACGGGGGGAACGGGCGCGACGTGACAGGGGGGAACGGGCGTGACGCGACGGGGGGGGAACAGGCGTGACGCGACGGGGGAGATGACGCTAGGCTCGGTACTAGGCGCGGTAACTACGAAACTGGTACGAACGAGAGGTAGGATCAGGCTCGGGAGGTACGAACGGAGAACGGAGGAACGGGATCCCACAGGATCCTAACCTAGCTGATACCATGTCAGAATGAGGAATGAGTGTTGCATTGATGTTGGTTGGGGTACATATGACAAACCCTAACTTCTGTACCCCCTAAGACAAACCTCACTACAGGCTACAACATTTGACAGGTGGTTCAACAGGCTATCATTAAAACGCTTCCGCAATACAACATTCCTGACAGAGTCTTAGGGCGTGTTCCTACAGCCCCTTATCAAGTGACCTCTTGTCAGACTTGTGCGGTTCAATGCGTTTCAATGCGATCGAATATTGTTACGTGCGTTTTCAGTGCGGTGCGACGCGAATCTGACAAGAGGTTGGCCTGATAAGAGGCCATAGGAACACACCCTTAGCCTTGAAAGATCCTAAAGGCTTTTCTCAGCCAAACATAAGGTAAGGTTAGTACTTGTACCTCTCATTTCTCATACGGTAGTAGTCGTGATTCTGACGAGAAACCGATGCTATTGGTATGAAAGGAAAAGTTCCTACATAACTAGCTCATTAAACACTAGACTGGTCCAATAAAAACACGATGTGATGGTACGGTAGCATAATATAATTTCAACAAATTACGCTTCCATAACTATGAGCTCTTGTCTTTTCCAGCCTTAGCCTCGCTCCCCGTGCCCTTTGATTTCTCCACTTTCGTGCTGGTGCTCCCCTTGGTGGCAGCAGCCACGCTATCCTTTCCTTTGCGAATGTAAGTGTAGTAAACTATCTGCGCAAAGATAGTGCCATGTGATAGCACACCCAGAATGCTCCCAATGGCCACTGCGAAGCACGATGGGGAATACATAAAATGGAGGGAGGAAAGACGGATATGGGAATGTACAGAGAGGCGAGACACTGTCAGGTTTGGGTTGGAGTGGTGGAAACGAGGCGGGGGAAGGAAGGAGGTTGGGGGGATTGGTGGGCAAGGGGGGGCGGTCGGTGGGGAACAAGAAAAGAGACGTGACTCGCGAATAAATGGAAGGAGATAGCATGGGCCGAGGAGAGAAAATGGAGAGCTAAGAAGCGTGGACATGAGAATGGGGGGATGGGAAGGGTGTCTTACTGCTGGTAGGGGCCTTTTCTTAGATAGACGTGAACAGGCGAGCTGCGGCATGGGGAGTACAAAAGAATGCCAGATGGGGGACAAGAAGGGAAATATACGTGAAGCAAAGAGCTGGGAACCTTCCAATGCTTAGTATGGTTGGCAGCACTGACATCACAATAGTCATCAATAATAGGATGAGAAAATGAGGTGATATTTACTGAGTGGAAGGACATTTGATGCGCCTTAGAGAGTCGATTATTGGATGGGAAAGTGAGGTGATTGATAGAGAGTGGAAGCGGAGTGGTGCTCACCGATGCAACCAGCAAAGGTGAGGAATGTGGTGAACACACTCAGCTGCCCCGTGCTCTTGCCCTGCTCATGGAACACCGTGATGGAACCATTAACAACCGCACATGTCATGAGATAAAACATGGCATGACAAGGTGATATGACATGACATGATACGAGACAGCCATATGACTTGACATGGTAGCGGAGTATGAGATGCAGCACGCAGCCGAGGGATGATGATGCGAACTTGCGGCACACAGAATGACCAGGAAACGACATGAAGAGTTGGCATGACACGACATGGCATGGCACGGCATGGAATGACACAGCATGTACCCAACATTCAAAACCAATGCTGCTTGCTCACCACATAGTTGCTCCACATTTGGGGGATGCGTCCAATGGTGAACAGAGCCGTTTGGGCATTCTGCATGAGAGAAGAGGGTTGAATGGGTTGAGATGGGGCGGGACGGGACGGGACGTGATGGGATAGGATGGGATGGGGTTGGATAAGATGGGTTGCAGTGTATTTAGTGAGTGACAAAAGGCACGGCCGGTTGAAAAGGCAATGCATGCACTGCAAGGTGTTCAGGAGAAGAGCCACTACAGGACGTTGGTTGGAGACAAAGAGAGTTCTAGCAGGAGCACAAACTTGGTAGGCAAGAAAAAACCATAATGCAAATCCTACTGCTAGTCGACAATTTGACAATGCACAGGTTGCTATAGGCGCCCACGTATTGGCTAGCTAGAGAGGCCCACTCATGTGGATGATCCCATACAAGCAGTCCCAATTCGGATTACAAGAAAGGAAGCCCAACAGGCGGCACACTCATGTAAATGATCTGATTTGATACAGGTGTGCCTTCATCATATCATTCCTCCAAACAATTCTCAAGTCGAACGATAAAATGGAACAAAAAGCAGGCCCACTCACATAGATGGTCTCGTACAGGTTGGCGCTCATGGCCCCTGAGAACAGCACTGGTACCAGGGTGGAGTAGCTGTAGTAGAACAGGAGAAGGGGGGGAGAGGGGGAGAGAAGAGGGTGCGGAGAGGGGCGTGAGAACAGCACTGGTACCAGGGCGGAGTAGCTGTCAGAAAGAATGCGATGCAAGGAGAGGTGTCCATGGGAAGGATGAAAGGGAGGAGAGGGAAGAGAAGTGGGTGCAGGGAGGGGCGTGTATGAGAGCAGCACTGGTACCAAGGCAGGGTAGTTGTCAAGGAGAGGAGGCTGCACAGAGAGGTGTCAATGGGAAGGATGGACGCGGGGAAAAGGGGGGGAGATGGCAGGAGAAGAGGGCGCAGGTAGAGGTGTGAGAACAGCAGTGGTGCATTGGTTGGGCAGATGCAATTGGAAACGAGGGTGTGCAGTTTCCTAACTGAGACAATTGGCACTCACATGCCCACTTTGATCCATGTGGTGGACGCCTGGTTGGGCAAATGCGAGTAGATGAGGAACATGAGGATGAGCGCTGCACGTGGGAAAGAGGCGGGGGGTTAGAGGAGGGAGGGGTGAGAGGAGGGAGGGGGGGAGAGGCGGGAACGGGGGAGAGGAGGGGTAGGAGAGCAAGGGGACCCAGAGATAGTGCATGAGGAGCATTAGGATGAGCGCTGCTCGGGGAAAAGAGACCGGGTGGGAGAGGAGGAGAGGAGGGTAGTGGAGGGAGCGGGTGTAGAGGAGAGAGTGTGGGAAGGAGAGGGAAAGGGAGGGGAAGCAGAAGTATTTTAGGTCTAGCTGCCTTGCAGATGCACAAACAACTAACAGTAAATAGGTGCAAGAATATTCTGCTTTTCACGAACCAGAGAGTGAGCACGACACAGGTGCGTTTGAAAGAACAAAATTGCGTAATTGTTACAACGCATAAGAACTGCTTACACTGCAGGAGAAGGAAGAAAAGCTCGCCATATGCAGTAAAGGGGACCTTTTTAAAGAGGCAGTACCCCACGGAAATAGTGTAGCCAATACACTCGATTTCAAACGACGGTACACTCAGGCCCTCTATGCTGTTGCTGCGGATGATCACAAGGATCTGCAAAAAGGTATGCAAACAGGGGGGGGAAAGTATATATATTTGAGAAGAAACGAGAATGAATTGACTAAGGGAAAGCTGGGTACAAGTACTAACCCTAATTGGGTTGTACCCCCTATGGGATACCCCACTATAGCCTACACAAATGTATAAGCTATATATCATTCTGACACACCCCCATAGGCAAATTGGGGGAGAACAAGGGGTCACAAGACCAGTCAAGCAGGCAAAGCAAAGCAAGCTCAAAGTGGATCACAAAGTCACCACACAGTCCGAGCACAAGGTCAAGGCCACAAGGCCAGTTCACATGCAAGATACACATATATATAAAGCGAGACAAGAAAGAGCAGGTAGATATATATGTGACAGTACAAGCAAGGTCAAGAGGTGAGCAAGTGAGGCAAGACAGGCACAAGACCCAGTTGAGTGCAGAAGCGCTGATGATCACAAGGCGCAAGTGCCTTGGTGAAGACATCACCAGTGTTGGCCTCAGAGGCCACGTACGCAAGCCGCAGCTGTCCACGCTGCTGAAGCTCACGAGCAAGGAAGTAGCGAAGAGCAATGTGCTTTGTTCTGTGCTCCAGTCTCTGCTCTCGACACAAGGCCAGCATGGCCTTGTTGTCTACGTACAGAACTGGAGGAGAACGAGGCGGCTCTCCAAGGTCGGTCAGCAGGTAGGTGAGCCAGCGAAGCTCCTGTGCAGCCATGGCCCCGGCGTAGATCTCAGCCTCACAACTGGAGCCGAGAACAGAAGACGAGCGAGTAGCCCGCCACGAAACAGAGCCGGAGCCAAGGCTGAAGGTGTAACCCTGCGACGACCGCTGCGTAGCCTGGTCGTCAGCCCAAGAAGCGTCCGCGTGCCCAGTGAGGACCACTGGACTCCGCCCTCCAAGCACTAGCCCCATGCCCGACGTACTGCACAAGTAGCGCAACACCCTCTTCGCTACAGCCATGTGCTCTGGTCGGTGTCTCCCAGGAGCAACATAGCGTGCAAGAATGCTAAGAGGGTATGCAAGGTCAGGTCGTGTGTAGGTCATCAGGTACATGAGGCAGCCAACAAGCTCTGGATACGGGCCACTCGACTCTACGGACTCATCCGAAGGCAGAGCTGAGAGTGAGTGGCGAGTAGGCAGAGGAGTGGTGAAGCCGAAGCGCTGAAGGACCTGCTGCACCATGTGTGACTGAGTCAGGGTAATGGTGCGGCGTGCTCTGTCCCGGGTGATCTGCAAGCCAAGGTAGCTGCGCAGTTCACCGAGGTCAGTGCACGTGTGTCTCTTCTGCAGCTCGGACTTCACGTAGGCGAGTCCAGCAGTGTCAGCTGTGGCAAAGACCAAGTCGTCGACGTACACGAGGATGTAGAACGGCGGCAGAGAGGTGTCGGTACGCAGAAACAGCGACGGGTCGGCAGTAGAAGGAGCAAACCCAAGAGCTGCAAGCGTAGTCCTCAGTGTGTCGTGCCACTCACGTGGCGCCTGGCGGAGACCGTAGACTGGACGCCGGAGACTCCACTGGGTACCAGGAGGGAAAGACCCAGTGAAGCCAGGTGGGTGGCGCAGCCAGATCTCCTCGTGCAGGCTGCCCTGCAAGAAAGCAGTGCTGAAGTCAAGAGAGTGCAGCTCGTAGTCACGGTGAGCAGCAACGTGCAGCAGTACCCGAAGAGTGGTCATCTTCGGGGTGGGGGAGAAGGTCTGAAAGTAGTCAACTCCCTGCCGCTGACTGAAGCCACGAGCCACGTAACGCGCCTTGAAGACAGGCGGAGAACCCGGCGGCCGCTTCACCCTGAAGATCCACATGCCACTGACGATGTTCGCCCCAGAAGGGGGGACAGCATCAACGTAGGTGCCTGTGGACTTCCAGGAAGCCATCTCTGCATCCATAGCTGCCTGCCACTGAGAGGAGTAGGGACCCTCTATCGCCCCCGCGTAAGAGCGCGGAGTCGGGATGTCAAGTGCATCCGGGTCTCCCTCAGGGGTAAGCAGTACGGACACAAGATGAGGTGAAGCAGCAGCCAGACACTGGAACTCCTCCTGCCTGACCTCAAGGACGTCCGTGCCAAGAGCACACTCACCCCCGACGGACGGAGGACAGACAGACTCAGACTATGCGACAAGACTAGCCGCGTAGTCTAGGCGACAGCGAGCAGCAAAGTCGACGAGCTCAGCAACTAGGGCAGACGCAGCAGTGGACTCAAAAGAAGGGTCAGTGACGACAGTAGCAAGGAGACGCGTGACGGTAGGACTGGCAGCACGAAGAGAGTCTGACTTCGGGTCGGTAAGAGTAGGAAGAGAGGACTCAGGAGGAGAAGGCAAAGGGGCACATAGAGGAGCAGTAGACGGACGCAGAGACATCCGGTGCGTGCGAGGGACAGGAGGAGGACGCTGACGCGAACCGCGACCACTAGTGCGAGCAGCACTGACAAGCGACGCAGGGCGGGACGCAGGCTCACGACGCTCAGTAAGACCTCCAGTAGGACCAGTGTAGGGAGAAGGAGCAGGCAAAGGGGAGGTAGGCTGCAACTGTAACTGAGACAGGACAGGCTGTGGACACTCTAAGGGAGGAGGAGGACCAGTAGAAGGTGGAAGACCAAGAACCTGCTGGAGGAGTGGAACCAAGTACGGGCGTGGCCGCGTGGCGACGCCAGAAGCAGCAGGGACAGCACCAGCACCCTCAGCAGGAGCACCCGCTCCAGCAGCACCTCTAGCAGCTCCAGAACCTCCAGCAGTACCAGGAGCACCCCCAGCAGGACGGCTAGCGGGAGTCGTAGCGCCAACACCCTCAGTAGTACCAGCTCCAGTCGAGCCCGCAGGCCCAGCAGCACCAGTACTCCCTATACGAGCACCTCCGAGACCCGCGACCGTAGCACCCTCAGCAGCCGAAGAACCTCCAGCACCAGCAGTACGGCGCCAGCGCCGGGCAAACCACTCGCGCAGCTCCTGTGGAGAGAGCGGCTCCCGGCGAGACGAAGCACCCGGAGAACCTCCAGGCGGAGCACCTCCAGGCTCAGCACCCCCAGGCGTAGCACCCCCTGGCTCAGCACCCCCAGACGTAGCATCTCCAGGCTCAGCACTCCCAGGCTTAGCACCCCCAGGCTCAGCACCCCCAGGCGTAGCACCCCCCGGCTCAGCACCCCCAGACGTAGCACCTTCAGGCTCAGCACCCCCAGGCTCAGCACCCCTAGGCTCCGCACCCCCAGGTCCAGCACCCGCAGACTCAGCACCCCCAGGCTCAGCACCCTCAGCAGCACCAGAGTCACCAGTGACCTCGACAGGCTCGACCGCGTCTACCTGGGACACACCTAAAGGGGCGGGACCCTGAGGGGGAGGGGGTTTACCTGGGGAGGACCTGGTACAAGAAAGAGCAGGGGTGGGGGGAGGGACGGAGTGCGGTAGGGGAAGAGGCGGTAGTAGGGGACCGACTCGTCAAACGTGACGTCCTGGGAGGATAGAACACGTCGAGAGGTGGGGTGGTAGAACTGCCACCCAGGAGCGTCAAGGGGAAACCCCAGGAAGACGCAAGGAGCAGCACGAGGGGACAGCTTGTCCGCAGACAAGTCGCGGACAAACGCCCGAGATCCCCAGACCCGGAACGCCGATGCATCGCCAACCTTCCCCGTCCACAGCAAGGCTGGGGAGGTCTCCGGCCTGGAGACCCTGGGGTGGAGGTTGATCTAATGCGCCGCGTACCTCACCGCAAACGGCCACAGAAAATGGGGGGCAGCCGCATGCATCATAGACGTACGGGCGACGTCCATGACCATGCCAATGCGGCGCTCATCAATCCCATTTTGCTGCGGGGAGTCCGGAAGTGTGAAGGTCTGACGGATGCCATGTGCGCGACAGTAGGCTCTCAGAAGGTCAGAGGAAAACTCTCCACCTCTGTCCGAGTGCAGACGCAGAACAGGAAAGTCCGAGCCAAAGCTCTGCCTGAGCTGGAGACAAGCTGCGCGGATCCAGTCGATCAGTACCTCAGTAACATCACCCTTGCTGCGCAAGGGGAAGACCGCGGTGTAACGCGAGTAGTCGTCAACAACGAGCAGGAAGTAGCGCTCGTGACCCTGTCCACGGACGCGGGCTGGGCCCCCCACGTCCATGTGAAGCGTCTGCAACGGGGCCTCTGTCGGAGGAAACTGGGAGGAGTGAGGGGCAGCACGCTGGCGCCCCTCGACACAGGGGACACAGGTAGGGCCAGGGCCCTGAGGAAGGGGAGGGAGGGACCGGGGGAGACCAGACACAAGAAGACGGGAGCACATGCCTCTGAGCCGAAGCAGAGAGGGGTGACCAAGGCGGTGGTGCCAAAGGAGAGTCTCGTGAGAAAGGAGACGACACGAACAAGGGGCAGACTCAGGACCAGACACAAGAAGACTGTGGAGAAGCGAGACAGGACAGGACCCCCAGAGGGGTCAGCCAGAGACACCGCAACCGGCCGACTAAGCGGCGTGAGTGTGGTACGGTCCCGAAAGAAGGAGCGAGAAGCCCCAGAGTCAAGGGTGAAGGTGAGGGAGGCCGAAGCCGACGAAGTACCTGAGAGCGCAGACTCACCAGTACCCGAGGACGCAGACGCACTAGCACCT